CAATTTCCTAGAAAGCCTTCTTCAGTTGCTGAAAGCTGAGACCAGGAAGAGCTGGAGGCCCCTGAACATGCACGGTTAAGGAAAGATGAATGTTTTGACACACTTGTGCCTTTCCCTTTCACGCAGAGTTGGAACAATGGACCTGAATGCCTTGGATTACAAGAGCCCCCAAAGCCCGTGCTTCCCAGAAGTCTCAGCTTAGCGTTTTTCCACCTCCAGGCATTCAATATGAGAATTCTAAGTGGTTAATATTCTCCTGATAAGAAAACATATGTTCCCTAAATTTAGTGAGAGTTATAATAAAATCATCATGTTTCTAAATCCTTAATCCACAGAGGGGGGATTTTAATATCTGAAGGCATTCCAATGATAGCTTTTTCAGAAACACTTAGGGTGTAATTGAGCCTGATTATTAAAACAATAGGTGGTCTTCTTCCTATCTCTTCACTAAAGAAAAAAATTGAACCACAATTCATAAACTAGTCTCCAGGCCTTTTATAAACTGAAAAGATTTTGTCTCTAAGCAGGACAGCTTTAAGAAGTTTAGGAAGCTTGCAAACCAAGGAATGGAATGTTCCAATCATGAAACTTCAAGAGGACAATCTCTGTGTTGGGTCCTTAGCCTTAAATGCTCACAAGAAGCCCACAAGGAGGTGTAATTATCTCAAATCTATAGATGAGGCAATGGAAGTCTAGAGATAACTGCTTTGCAGCGGTCACATGACCTGCATGTAGAGGAGTTGAGGTTCGAAGCCAGATCTGTCCAGTCTTCGGTGTCAGAGCAGCGTCATCCCCCACAGACCGCCCTTGGGGTCAAGCAGTGATGAAGCAGGCAACACCCCCTGGTCCTTTGCCAACATCAGAGATTATCACCTTTTTCTTTTTTATATCAGTATAAATTGAACGTTCAAAAAAGAATCTGTAAAGAATTGCCATTGTTTTCAGTTCTGGCAAATCCTCAGAACTGTGGAGGAGTTATTTTAAAAGAGCTGTGTGGCCTTGGGCAAAGTCACATAAACTCTCAGCCATGGGTTTTGTCAACTGTGCAATTAAGATAATAACACCCACTCACTTGGTTGCTGGAAGGATTAAATGAAAAAATAAGTGTACAAGAGCTTAGCACCTTGTCAGTGCTTAATAATAGTAGGTCCTCTTATTTCCCAAACAAATATTATTAAATAAATGATATTTTAACAATAATATATCCATTCAACATGTCCCTTGTGTTTGGTGCTGTAATAACTCTGCTTTTAATCCCCGCACGTCCTGGGTGGTAGGTACTACTTTTACAGAAGAGAAAATGGAGGCTGAAGGAAAGTAAGTGATTTGCCCAAAGTGACACAGGAAGTGGGAGGTCTGGGACTTGAACCTAGACACTCAGAATTTAAAGGGCATACTTTTAACTGTCATGCTCTCCTACCCTCCAAGAAATAACAATGCATAGACATTTCATGTGGCAAAGGCTGAACTTGATGACTTGCTTTTGCTCTCTTAACCCCCATCTCAACTCCTTCTTGGAAAATGAAAGCTGTTTGTGTGAGTTTCCCACTCTCTTAAGGATACTGCACTCCGAAAGCTTCATCGATTTCTTTTACTGTACAGTTGCAATTTTGCCTGCTCCTCATAAACCCTCAAAAGCAAGCCTCATGAGGTCACCGAAGCAAGTGGCAGAAGTGATGTTCCTAAAAACTCTTTTTGTGCCTGATTTCTCCCCAGGGAGGGCCTTGCTCCTCTAGCCATAGGGTGGCAAGAGGAATAAAAACTCTGCTAAGGCTGCCTGCACTGATTTTCCTTCATTATTTATTTGCTTCTTTATTTGCACCTCTTTTAAAAGGATTTGAGGTAGAATTTTTCATCAAAGATAACCACCAAAATATCTAGAAGAGAAAGAAATGCCTGCAAGGCCCACAGAATAACGGAAATGGATACCAAGGGTGTCTTGGGCTTCTCCAACAGAAGAGGCTTCCAGAGGAGGTGTTGTGGGACATCTCTGACACACTAGAAGATGTAGAAGAGCCTCAAGAACTGGTACCGTCGGGCTCACACCAAGGCCCATGCACAAAACCACTTTCTCCATTTTATCTGCATCTCGTCAGAAAGGGAAGATCCAAGGAGAGAGGAGTGAGGGAGGGAAGGAAAATAGACCTCCTCCTTGATGCCATTTTTTTGTTAGGAAACAAATTCTTCCATCAGCAATTCTGAACCAATTGCCTTGCTGAGAACAAAGAGAGCCACCCATGTCCCGGGCTGCTGGTGGGATGGACGGTGCTGTAGGAATGAGGGGAGGGGCTGAGTACCGGCCATGGGCTCTGTCTGTGGCTCACGAAGGGCTGCCATGGCAGCAGTCAAGTTCAGGTGCCGGGAGGTCCCCAGAGGCACATGGCTAATATTTCCTGTGCACTGAGCTAGGTGTGGAAGGATCAAAAATAAACATCACAAAGCCTGCCTGTAAAGAGTTTCCAGTTACTGGGGAAGGCAGGCACACAAATGGATAATTTCAATACGATATCCAATAGGACTCATTAACACTTCCAAGCACTCTCTCACGAGCATCTACTCTGTGCAGGCATTGCACGGCATAATAGGGATTCAGAGTAGCCATGAAGCTTGAGTCTAATGTCAGAGTCTAATGTCAAAGTCTAATGTTTAGGATGCTGTGAGAGCACAGAGGAAGGTTGCTACTTAGACTGCAGAAATCCTGAAAGGTTGCACAGAGACGACAAAACAGAAGGGAGCCCCATGCTGAAAAAAAGAGCATGATCAAAGGCATGGTGGCATGAAATTATTTCATACCTAGGACACACTACAAGGCTGGGTATGTGTTTGCGGACTGCTTCTCCCAATATTGTGACTTTCAGATACATCCTCTAAAAAGCCCTCCTGTCATCAGGTGGTTTGTCTTTAAGATTGACAGGCCATAACAGCTCCATAGCACAGGCCAAGCAGCTCCATAGGGAGATGTTAGGCCAGTCCAGATATGGCTTCTGGGAGCTATGAGGAAAAACATGTAATTAGGTATATTCTCTTGTCCATATAATCACTTCATCCAAGTATCCTCCCATGGCAATATCCCTGGAGATGAACCTCACAACCCTGGCGTGCAATCCCTGCTCTTGGTGCGCTCTGAGAAAACCCCTTAAAGAATAGCTGGTTAATGTGGGGGTTCAGAGATAAACCCAGGTTACATGGTTATCAAGCATGCAGCAAGGCTGCATGTAAAAGGATACTGCCCCCGTGGACCACACATCTCCTTTCCTCTCCCAGGATAATACCGATCAGGGCCCTACTGCATGCCAGGCTCACGTTGTCACACTTGGTCTCACCCAAACTCTGTAAGGTCAGTGCAATGGCCCCATTTTTATTGATGAGGGGCCTGAGGCTTGGAGACCTTCACTTACCTGCCCAAGATCTTTCTGACCTGACAGAATCAAGCCAAGATTATAGCTTCCTCTGCTTCAAACAAACTTTTCTGAGGCTTCCCACACATTCATCCTTGACATTCAGGCCTCAGCTCAAACAGGAACTCTCTCACTCTAAAGAGGCCCTCTCTGTTACCACTTTTCCTTTCAGAGCACTTACCCTCCCTGATAGGACAGACTTACTCATCATCCGCCTGTCTCCACCAGCTCCACAAGGCGAGGACCTTTCTTGACTCCTTTACTGTTCTACCCATAATGCTCCAAGCAGAGCCTGATACATGGAAACCCCAACAATTGGTTGCTTAGTAAACAAAGCCACCTGGCTGGACCCTAAGCCCGGCCCTCTCCACTCTACTGGTGTAGCTCAAGCCGGTGGCCAGTGGCCCACTGGGAGCTTGTGAGAAGCCCCCTGGTGGCTGCACACTGACCCACAGATAAAGGACTACGAATTTCTCATGGGTGAGGGCAAGCAATTCCATAGATTTTCATTTCTACTTCAACAAAGGTCAACATCCAGCAACATTCTATGTGACAAAAATGTATCTATGTGATAAAGTTTCCATAACTCATGTTTCTTAATGATTCAAATTCACTCTTTTTACTGCCGACAAGCTGGCCCTACGGTTGCACAGACTCTCAGGCATGCATCCTCGTGGAGTGTGGGATGCTCGCTGTTGTCAGCAAGCACGATTATTGGTCACTGTGAACGTCGCCTTGACCTGGCTCTGACTTTCAATTGCTGGTATTGCTGTTTCAATCAATTAGCCTGTACACTCACTCAGCATTTATGTGGTGCCATTTTCATTGTAATTTTACCCTGTCCAACACTTTATTGTCTCCAAATTATTTTTCCACTAGAAAACAGTGAGAACCATCAGCCCTTCTTAAGTGGGTAACAGTCCTAAATCTTTGGGGAAGAATCCTTGCATCCTACCTCATGACTTCATGGAATCCTTGAACTATCAGCCTGTTTTTTGTCTTATGACAAAACATATGTGTTCCTACAAATCACCACATTAGATAGAATGGGGGAAGCGGGGTAAGGGGCACAACACTCAAAAACATCATCAGTGACACGTAAAAAGGAAAGAAAAAATGGTAGTACAGTTTTATACAGGTTAAATGGCTAAGAAACATAAGTACTACAATAAATACGACACTTTACCTTGAAGAGCCCTGGCCTTTGCTCATGGAAGTGGATGTAGGAAGGGTTGCAGCTTGTGCGTTATTGTGAACAGGTGAAAGGAGGGTGGTCTGAATGGGATGCAGAGATGTAACCACAGGTGCGGGTGGGTGCAGCCCCGAACACAAGTGAACCTAGTAGCTGGAAGGTGTTTGAGATGTGTACGTGTGCACATTTGTGCATTGCTAAACAGCTGGCTTCAGCTGGGTGCGGTTTCCTGCATTCACCTAGTATTTCTCAGAAAGGCAATTTTGCATACGCAAATGTGAAATTCCTGTTATCCTCAAATTATTCCCTAATGTATCAGTTGTGTTGGAGCACATTCGCATATTCAAAACAAGTGTCATAGCAGAACTGGCTGTACCTGATTCACTTTCATCTTTTCTTTGTTTATTCAGACTGGGCCAAGAGGATTGAGTATCAGCCTGGCTCGGGGAGTGTGCCCCTGTTCCCCAGCATCCACCTGGAGACCTGCGACGGGGCCGTGTCCTCCATCCAGATCACCACAGAGTTGCAGACCAATTACATCGGGAAGGGGTGTGACCGGGAGACCTACTCTGAGAAATCCCTTCAGAAATTATGTGGTAGGTTTTACCCAGTGGGGACTGTTTAATACAAAGCATATTTTATTATATTATGGGAGAATGAGCCCTTCCCTCATTCTGTATGTAACTGGGGGATGAATATTAGGTTTGTTTAGTGTGCTTAAAGAGTCACAAGGCACAGCTTTTGGCATCAGGCACACTTGATCAGACCCCACCATTTACCAGTTGCATGGATGAGGGCAAGGAAAGCAACAAAGCCTCTATTTTTCTTCAGTAAAACAGGGATTAATGACACAATGTGTTTAAGCGCATCTACCAGAGGGCCTGAAGAAACACCGGCTTCCTTTCGCTGTGTTGGTTTATGAAGAGACATCTGACCAGGGGCCAAGATGAAGGGTGCTGTCAGTCCCTTGGGGAGAGGTTGGTCAGGACCGGGGACAGGACCAGCTACATAATTTTCAGGGCCCCAGTGCAAGTAAAAATGCGATCCTTCTTCAAAAAATCAAGAAGCATTTTAAAAATAAAACCACAAAACATTACACCAAGCTGGGAGGTCCTGTGAAACTGTTCAGGTCTCATGCCAGCAAAGCCTGGCCCAGCTGCCCAGAGAAGAAGGGCTTGGGCTGGGGAGAGATGGGCCAAGCGAAGGTGTCCAAGTGTCGGGGGAGGGGGCCTACTGTCCATGGGCTGAGAGATGGTGCCGCAGAGAGGAGCAGGCAAGGAAATAGGCCACTGGGCCGGGGGAGGGGTGCTACACAAGGAAGCTTAGCCTTACTGAGCGCCTACTTCATGCAGCCTGCCAGACTCCTTGCGTGCATTACTTTATTTAATCCTCTCATCTTCTCTGTTAGAAGGGCATTTATTCATCCAAGATGGAAAAATTGAGGCCCAGAGAGGAAACATGACTTATTCAAGGTCACACAGATAGAAAGTGATAGCCAGAAATTGAAGGCAGGTCTATCAGAAGGAAAGTCTCTTTAGCTCAATATCTGTGATGCTAGGCCAGGCCTTTGGAGCTAGAATGTGAATCTCTCAGGTCAGCCTGTAGAATAAAAGGACGTTCAGTATGGTGGGCATGTTCCCATGGGCTTTGTAAAAAAGACTGTCCATGTATTGACGGGCCTCCTTCATCTCCACCCAAACATATTTTATTTCTTCTTTGTTCTCTTCAAAAATACTCAAGAACTCACATCTGACCCTGCAGCAGTGCTGTGGGGAGCTTAGTCTTATACTGGGCCTGTATTTGGGGTAATACATTTCTACAAAGGGAAAGGGGGCTCCTGAACACCGTCTAGCCTGCCATCCCCCCAGGTGGCCCCTCCACTACTGTCTTGGGAACATTTTCCCCTCCTTAATATTGTCCCTCCCCCACACACACATACCTTCATCCGCACTGCTGGGTGCCTAAAGAATCAAGTGAAACTTTTAGAACTGAATGTGAAAAGAACCCTGCTTGGGTATCACCATGTCCCATTTATCATGTCACCAGGCCAGCAAGGAAGGCCTGTGGGAACGCGGGCTTCTCCAGAAGGATGTAGCTGAGCAGGGAAATCACCACCCCATCAATATCCCAAACAGCTCCTGCAAAAATGGATATAAGGGGCCCGCAATATTCAGAAAACTGCCTCCAGTCCTCTCCCCCACTCTGCGTACAGAGAGCCATCGCAGACAGCTTACTTTGAATGAATATCCCATTTTGCTTCCTGTGCACCTAAATTATGAGTCGACTGGACCCCACTCTGCTTAGAGCGACCGTGGGTTATAGTCATTTCCTAAACTCCTCCAGGTTATAAAGAGATGATGGAATCAGCTTGTTAAAGATCAGATGGGCCCAAGGGCATGCACTTGTGATTTGATTTTGAATGTTGCTGGGAGAGATGAGGAGATACAGGGAGTGAGACAGATTTTCTAAGGTAAGAAACTTTAGAACAAAATTGCATCTGGTGTTAACACAGCTCATTCCTCTGCACTGCCAGCTCCCCTTGCAGGAGGGCAGGTTCATTCGGTCAGAAAGCAGTCTCCCCCAAGGTGCATGCAAGATCAGCCGGTGCTCGGAGAGACCCTTTGTGGAGAGACATCTGCGTGTCTTTCTGGTAAACCTGCCTGGTAGTGCCACCCTCCACAATGATGGGAACTCTGCCCGAGTAACTCTGATGGGCAGGGCCACCCCTGCCTCCATATTCCAAGTCCGAATCTTGAAATGTGCTGAGATAGAGCTCTGGGAAAAAGGGCAGGTGCAAATAAGTGAGACTCAGATGCACATCTGGTGCTAGAGTCTCCTTCCAAAGGAGGCTGCTTATCGGGGCCCCCTGGTTCCTGCAAGCTGCGAGGGAAATGCAGGTTCAATAGCTTCTAAAACGGAGTCTGGGTTGTAATTCCTGACTCTCATGGGAACCTGAGGTTCTGGAGACAAGCTTTTATGTGTGTTTTAGTGGGTGGTAGGCAAGTTTCTTGGGGAGTTTCTTAACCAGGGAACTGCCATGACTTTTTAAGCCTCAGCATTCATGCATTTTTAATTCTGCAAATCTGTATTGACTTTGGATGGAAAGAGGGAAACCAATTAGGATGTTATTGCCATAGTCTAAGAAAGATATAATTAGTTCTGAACCAAGGGAATGGCTGTTGGTATGTATTTAAGACAGAGTGAGGAGGCAAAATGGGTGAGATTTAATGGTGCATTAGCTGTCAGGAGTGAGAAAGAAGGAATCTAAGATGACTCCAGGATGAGCACAGAGCTGGATGAGGGTGCCCCCAATAAGAACTAGGAATCTAGGGCAAGAGCAGAATTAGGGGACAATGATGACGGTCACCTGTGGAACATCCAGGCATGCTGCCCAACTCTAGCCTGACCCTCGACCCTCAGCAGACCTGCCTGCACCCTGCCCATCCATTATCATAGCCAGTGTCCTCCTGATGTTCTTCTTCTTGGCACCTCCTTTATCCCCGTGCCTGGCTTGTTCCCATCCCTAAGTCTTTGCTCGTGTTTTCTTTCTCCTAGGATGCCCTCTTTCCTCCTCATCATTCTAAACCCTTTCCTTTAGTCAATGTTCTCCTGCCCTCTATGCTCACCAGGGTAACAGTCCCGAGGTGCTTCCTCTGTAATTTTGCATTCTGGCATCTCTTCTCAGTGCTGTAACTGTGCGGGGACCCAAGCAAGGGTGTCTCCCCGTAGGGGCATTGCAGTGTCTGGTCATTGCCCACCTGCTTCCTTCTCCTGCAGCATCAGCTCCATCAAGAGCAGTGGTGGGGGAGTCGACAATAACAGGCGCAAAGCCTGCTCTCAGGAAGTGCCTGACAGGAGCAGCAGCACTTGAAATAGCCTCTTTAGTTCCAGTGAAGTACTGAACACCCAGCATATTGCTGCCTGAAGTTTGTACACTGAGACACGTCCACTCTGCCTTGAAATAAAAATAATCAGGGCCCTTAACCCATGTGCCCTCCAGCTTGCGGGGCTGGGCATAGCCAAAGAAGGCCTCCCCTACTGCCCTTGCTTTACATAAAGCCAGGCTTCTAGGAGAGGTTGGGCAAGCTGCTTATCATTTCCTCTTAATTCAGAGATTTAAGATGACGGTATGTCTCAGTACCTGGCTTTCTGGAGGTGAAGTGTCACAGTACTGCCTTGAGTATGAAATGCATGGTGAAACCCTTGGCAAGACCTCTTGGCCAAATTAAATTTGACATTAACAATAGCCCAAGAAAAGGTCTGCTTTGATGCCCTTAAGTCACTACATATTACAGTTAAATAGAAAAGTAGTTTGTGATGCACATGCCTTCATAGCCCAGAGGCCAGAGGTTGTTCCTCCTCGGAACCACAGACTCCTGGCAGATGGCCGGCACCTACCGCACATACCACCCAGTCAGCTGTTTGGTATGTGGAGTCATGAACTGCAAGGACAGGTCTTGTTGAAGGAAAGGCCACAGAATGAGAGTGTGCTATTAAATCAAATGATTGACCTGTCAGGGTAGTTCAGACATTAAGTTGTTCTCAGAATTATACACTGGTGAGACAGGAAGTGTTCATAGAGGATTCATTCACTCATTCATTTATGTATTAATTTAACAAATATTTGTTGAGTGTCCAAATGCTATGTATCTTGTGGTTATATGAAACTTAAGAAGACCACTTAACAGTTTAGTCTCCTGGGGAAGACCGACATGTTGAAAAAGTTAGCTCCCTGGTTCTCTACTACACCTTGCAGCATAACAGAGCTGCCCTCACCAAGAATCACTGACAGAGCTTTTCGTACCCTTAGAATAGCCCAACTACAGGAAGCTTCTCCAAGATACCCCTAAAGAGCTGGTGTTTCCAGCGGACCATATTAGTCCCTTAGTCAGAGCCAGTGCTTCCATTCCCAGAGAACTGAAGTGGGCCTCTTACTTTAAGGAAAATTGATGCATTCCTGTTGGGAATCAGATTAAGTCATTAATCACACACCAGTAAAAAGCTGTACACACTGACTCATGGATGATGACAGTGAGCAGTGAGCTCCTCTCCGGACATGCCTATGCCTTTGAGGTTTTATGCAGCTACCATACAGCATGCCCTTCAATCCTGGGGAGGTTTTTGCCTATAGTAGCCTTGCCCAAGGGGCTGGTCTGCAACTGAGTTTCTACAGCTCTCCCTAGGAACCTGGCTGACCACCCCCCATCCAAAGCCCATCTTGTTTCACCTAGAGATCCAAGTTTCTGATTCCGAGGTCTTGGAGGGATCCCTCTTGTCTAGGATTCCAGGGGTAGAATGATAGTCTTATCATAGGATCACTGGGGTATGAGCTCCTGAAATGACATCAGAAAGCCCTCCATGTCCATGCTGATGGTATGCAGATGGCAAAATGGGAATTACATGTACTAGAATCAGTCAGTTATGTGGACTATGGGTCAGAATACCAGGTTATGGTGTAGTAACAGATGACCTGAAAATCTCATTGGCTTAAAACAACTATGATTTATTTATCATTTGTACCACATGTTCTTGGGTTGACCGTGACTGTTCCTTGTGGGCTTCAGCTTGAGATCAGGCTAAAAGAACAGCCTTTACTAGAACACTGCTGCCCTTGTGGCACATCGAAAAGACACATGGTGAGTCACGTACTGGCTCTCAAAGATTCTGCCCTGATATGATATGCGTCATTTGCACTCACATTTCTTTGGTCAGAGCAAGTCACATGTCCAAGCGACATCAGTGGGTCAGAGAAGCCTATGGAGAACAGGATGCACTCTACCACCATGCAGTCCTACTAGGGCATTTGTCAAGAGAGACCCCCTGCTTCCCCTGACACTCTCTGCCACTTGACTGCCCCACCCAAAGACTTTCTGCTGGGTCCCGAAAGGTAGGGCCCATTTCTCTCTAGTTTATCGCTGTGTTCTCACTGCAGTACCTGGCATAACGGAGACATTACAGAAACATATATGGAAAGAATATGGAGATATTGCCAATTGTGAGAATGCTCTGCAGAATGAGGCCTCTGTCCTTGATGACGATGGTTTCTCTCCCCTGACACCCTCTTGCTTATCCTTGTCCCTTCCCATGCTGTGGTGGACCATGAAGACGCATGTCAGTCACCACTGCCACAGTCCCACCTGAAGTGCTGAGGGCACTCTGCCCTCACCAAGGCTATCCAGAGCAGAATGGAAACCCTTCAGTTAAGAAGCCCAGACAACAACACTTCCCTCAGGCTCATTTGGGTTCTCACACCACAGTGTACCCTGCAATCTGCCTCTTTCGCCCCTGTTTTTACCTACTGGCTGTCTCACAAAGGCTTCCCCACCTTGAGCCCTCTGATTCCCAGCCCGCCCCCGCTCACCATGTTCAAGCTGCAGCTGCTGTGCCCCAGACCAGTGTGCCCTCCCAGCAGCCTGGTGGCCCCCAGGGACCTTGTGGAGAGGTCCCAAGGAGCATCTTAAATACACCCTAATGGGCAAGCGATGCCACACCATCTTTGCTAGCAATGTATCTGTTTACCCTCTGCTCTCCACGGGATCCCTTGGGGAGAGGAGAGCGAAGAACTTTGGGAGAAGGCAAATCTCTCTATTTGTTTAAGTGCATCAAGAAATGAAATACAAGCTGTTGAGTTTGTGGAAATCTGCACCATCTGGTTAAATGCAGCTTGATGCTTCCCAGGAGGCAACATCTGTGGATTAGACAGGGTGGCCTGCTGCTCCCCTCACCAGGGAAGACAAGGGAGCTCTGCATCGATGGCCTTGCTAGGTCACATGCTGTCTTCAATGTGCCTTTCTGTAGACAGCCGCCTGTATAGGGAGCTGGGTTCCCGGGGACTGGGCTGTGCTTGGCAGGACACTGCACTGTGTGGTAGAAAATGCATTAGCCAGGTGTCTGAGAGCTGGGCTCACCTCTAGCTACCTGTGTGGCTGTGTGATCTTAGTCTTTTCCCCTCCCTGAGCCTCACCTGCTTTGTAAAATGTGCAGGAGGTTATAAGAGTTCCCTCCAGGTTCACTGAGGTGATGCAGTGGGGCGGTCTCAGGGAAGAGTAAAGAACTGGAAAGTCCTGATAATGAGCCCACTCACTAGCTGGTTGTGACCTGGGCTTGCTGAGCATCAGGTTTCTTACCTGCAAAGTAAAATCATAGTAGTAGTCACCACATAGCCGAGTAACTAAGAAAAAGCATTGAAGTACTTCATTTAGGTCTGGCACTTAGTGCCCCAAAACGGTTCTTAGGAAAATGATAATAAAGACCTGTAACTATGAAAAATAAACTTATATATGTATAGGATATACATATAGAATAACCCTGACCAGGGCAGGTTCTTTGGCTAATGCAACCAATTTTGCCTCCCAGTCTCTTTCTGTCTTCTCCCCATCACCTGACACTTGTACTTACATTATACCTCTCTCCCTCTGTATACACCTGTTCTGGGGAAAATTAGAAGTATCCCCTTCTCTTGTCTAAGATGCTAATTACAGTGTGAATTCTACAGGGACATTTGCTTAACAACAGCAAGGTCCTTAGCCCGAAATTCCCTCCAATGGTGGAGTTTTGAGCCTGGCACTTTCCACCCTGGTCCTGCAGCGTGAAGGCCAGCCCACATACGTCTGCCCTGGGACCTGCTAGATGATAATGGCTGCATTGGCTTGAGCTAGAAATCAGGAGCCCTCAGTGCTCAGCCTGCAACTCTCCGGCCACTGAAGTTTCAGGAACCGACATGCACTCTGTGTGCCTCAGGCACCAGGCCCTCTTTATGCTGGACAGGTCTTGGGGTCAGAGCCGACTTAATTATGGATCAGAGAAACTGTTGCCATGTTGCATTGTTCTGGGAGTTGTAAGAAAATGAACTTGTTCCAAAGGCCACATTATCTCCCACTCCTGAACTACCCCCAAGTCTTTACCTGCTACCATCTTGGTGGATTTCATTCATTCAAATAGCTATGGAGGGTGCTTTGTTAGTCATTAAAACATTAGTGTGAATTAACTTCCCAGATAAGTAAAATAGATACCAAAGGAGGCCCTAGGGGAAGAGGATGAGAGGGGCGGGGCCTGGACAAGGGCTGGATGGGCAGGCTCATGTGAGCATTAGGTGGGTGGCCAGAAGCATCTCATGGAGACACTAGATGGGAGCAAAGGCAGTTATACACATTAACAGAGTGTCTGCTGGGAGCCAGACGTACTACCAACCAAAAACTCTCATAAGGACACATGTAAATAACATAGTCAACACGGCCCACATTAGTCCTTGATACACATAAGCTGCAAGGTGATAATGAATTGGGACACCGGACTCTTCCAACCTCTCGGTCTGCAGTTCCTAGAGGCCTCTCCAAAGTGAGCCTCTCACAAGTGCTAAACAGAGCATATTTTTCACATAGCATAACTTTCAGCTGCAAGCTCGTGAGTGCTCAACCTTAGACGCAATGATCTGTTCCAAAACTGGAGGCAAAACTGGCTGGCTTCAACCTTTTTGAAATAGTGTATTGGTTTCCAATGTGGCACTTTCCTGAGGGATTTTCAAGGGTCATTTTAACTATACAAGATGTTTGTGGTGGCTACTTTGAAACCCAGTCCCTGGGTGAGATGAGGCTTTGATATGCAGAATTCAGAAGTTCAGTGATCCCTGGCAAATGGCAGGCAATACACCCAACCACTGTCCATTAAACCCATCCGCATTTATAACTGACTGGTCAGTCCTAAACCAGGAGAGGGCCTCCACACCTGTGGCCCCCAGCACCAAGCATACCTTAGGCGCCCTGGCTCTTATTTCCTGACAGTATCAGGAAGCCCCCCGGCCCTCCTCCTTGCTGATCCTTGCTCCTGTGTGGAATGTAAGGACGGGGAGAAAGTAAGGATGCCGTGCAGCAGCTTTCAAGCTTCCCTGGGAAGTCAGTGGAAGGCCAAGGATTATCCCAGCTGGGGAATCCAGCCTCCTCTCCAGGGCCTGCCCCTCCCACTCACTTCAGCTCCACCCTCCACAAAGTTGTAGGTGTGATTCTCCTGAGACGTAAATTTGCTCCTGACACTCCCACTGCTTCAGGTTAAGTCCCATGCACTAGCCTGGAAGCATGGCAGCAGCAAAAATAATAATAATTATAATAATACTGATGAAGTGATAGCTAACCTGACGTGAACATGCACCTTGTGGTGAGCATGCTGCTGAAAGCTCTAAGGCAATTTCTTATGCAGTCCTCACAACACCCTGGGAAGGGAGGCAATATAAAAGGAGGTGGAACTCAGAAAGGTTAAGTGACTTGAGCACAGTAACAAGGCTACAAGGCATGTTGCCAGGTGTCAGATTCAAGTTTGGCTGACTTCAGAACTGAACTACTATACCATCTGGCCAACACAAATCATTTAAAAAATAAAAAGTATGATGAGTACAAAGTGACTTATGCTCCTCATGGGATCAGGACCTGGAATTTCCCCCCATCATTGCCCTGATCACACTGTGTCACAGCTGTCTGTTGACTTGTTCGTCCTGAGCTCCCCCAGGTTAGGGACTGTGCTGATTCTCATTTACATCACCAGCACCTGCCAGGGGTCTTGGCATCTTGTAGGTGCTCAGTGAATGGCTGACAGGTTAATGGATAGATGAGTGCAAGAATGAATCCATTGATCCCAATCAAACCCTGGCCTTCACCAGGAATCTTGCCCGCTTAAGAAAGCCCCCCGGGGATTCCCATTTTCCTAAATTCCTCCAGCACTTTTTCTTTGTATGCTAGTTAATTGCACTCTGTCTTGACACATGTAGAACTTTCCTGAGTAGGTTACTGATGCTGCCCCAAGGGAACCTTAAGCATTTCAGGAGCAGGAATGGCATTTGGCCCTTGTTTTTCTGCATCACCTAGCTCAGGCCTGGGCACAGACCTCTGAGTTAGTACACTGAGTAGAGATGACCCTTGAACGATGTGAAGGTTGAGATGCTGACCCCCAGTGTACTCAAAAATACGTGTATAACTTTTGACTACCCAAAACTTAACTACAGATAGCCTACTGTTGGCAGAGAGCCTTACTGATAACATAAATAGTTGATTAACATATATTTAGCATGTTCTATGTATGAGTGCAGTATTCTTAAAATAAAATTAGCTAGCAAAAGTAAAATGTTATTAAAATCAAAAGGAAGAGAAAATACATTTACAGTGTTTATTTGGGAAGAAAAACAACCCACATGTAGGCAGACCCATGCTGTTTAAATCAGTGTTATTCAAGGGTCTAGTGTAGTTTATCCTGACCTAGCAGTGGAAAACAGAAGGTGAGGCCACCCACCCCATCAGCGATGACCCTCTGTTCTTTCTGTTCCCCGTCCCCTGCAGGAGCCTCCTCTGGCATCATTGACCTCCTGCCATCCCCCAGTGCTGCCACAAACTGGACCGCAGGACTGCTGGTGGACAGCAGTGAGATGATCTTCAAGTTCGATGGCAGGCAGGGTGCCAAGATCCCTGACGGGATTGTGCCCAAGAACCTGACGGACCAGTTCACCATCACCATGTGGATGAAACATGGCCCCAGCCCTGGCGTGAGGGCCGAGAAGGAAACCATCCTCTGCAACTCAGATAAAACTGGTGAGTCTTGAGCCCGGCCCTTCTGGTGGCTGCCTGTGATGTCCCAGCAGGTTAGGCAGAGACATGGCCACTGAAGATGTGGGAGAAAAGTGGGAGCATGAGAAGGGCCCTGGGAAAAGATTCTCGTCTCTGGATTTCTGGCTGCTGATTCCTGGGCTTGGGGTAAAGCAAGACCAGAAAAAGGAGAAAAGCAGATGTACAGACACAAGGAATGCTGGCTCTGGGAATAGTGGTTTTAAACTGGGTTCTTCAGAACCCAGCCTCCCAGAAGTAATTGGGGCTGATCTGCATGAGACAGGGACGGGGGTGCATCCTTACTTCAAGCAGAGCAGCTCCACCTTTACTATATTTTATACAGGGGTGGGCAAAAGTAGGTTTATAGTTGTGAGAATACAAAACACAGAGTTAATACCACGATTGTAATAATCATAACCTGCATCTCATTTTTCATAAGAACAAAAGTTTATTTTCAATGAAAGGGCCCTCTCTGCTAGTTTAAGTTAGTAGTTTGAATACCAGTGCCATACATAATAATGATAGCTAGCACGTGTTAGGCATTTTAAGCATGCTGCTATGCAAGACAGTTCATAGCTTGGCGGTTAAAATCTCGCCACCTTTTATTGGCTCTGGGACCTTGGGCAGGTTGTTTGACCCATCTGTGCCTCACTTTCCCCGTCTGTAAAATGGGCATTATAGTATTATCTGCCCTGTAGGGTTCTTGTGAGGATTAAATGACTTAATGTATACACAGTGCTTTAGAACAGTACCTGGCACACAGGAAGGGCAATCTGTGTTAGCTATTACTGTTCTAAGAAGCATCTCTCACATTTCCACAAACAAGCTTATACAAGCATTGTTGTGTTTCCCATTGTAAGGATAAGGAGACATCCCTGACAGATTAAGTAACTTGACCCAAGTTACACAGCCAAGTAAGTCTCAGAACTGGAATGTAAGCTTAGAGCTAGCCAGTTCCAGTCCTGTGCTCTCGTCACTGCGCCCTAAGTGCAAACACACACACACGCAAATACTGATACCTTATATGTATTTTACAACTCCGTCTTAAACTATAATTTCACAATTTCCCAAATTTACTTTTGTTAAATTACCCAAAATAAATAACCACAGCAACGAGAAGACAGCATAGAAGTATGGCTGATAGCACAGCCTCTGCTGATGGACAGCCCAAGTCTCTATCTCAGCTTTTCTACTATTTAGGGTGTGACATTTGAGGGTTTGCTAATCTCTCTGAGCCTCAGTTTCCCCACATGTAAATTGGGGAAAATAAACATGAAATAATGCATAAAATCATTTAGGAGCACCAAATATAATGTAATCGGTCCAGAACCCCACATTTTATGTTTCAATCAGTCTTCACAATACATGTTCATGCATTTTCTGGATATAGGCACTGAGACAGAGAGAGTCACCCAGCTTCCCCTAGTCAGATGGTGTGTCTGTGTCAGAGCCAGTGCCAGGGCCCATTTTTCCTAGGACCTTCCAACAAAAAGGACTTCGCAGACCTGCACAAGATGGCCCTGAGGTTTGGGACCAGATTCAGAGTTCAGCCCCCGGTCCCAGGAATTGCCCTGTGGCCTGATCCTCCCAAGGCCTGATAGGGCGCTCCCACTGTGATCCAGCAGCCAGTGGATGAGACAAAGGCTTAGGAAAGTATGGAGAAATGCAAAGCAGCATGGGCTGAGTTAGTGGCCACACACATACTGTCCTTGCTGGAAAGGATCCTATAGCCCTGAGAGGCAGGTCAGACAGATATTAATATTCCTGCTTAAAGAGAAGAGAATGAGAATATGAAAAGGCTGAGTGAGTAGTCCAGGAGAACGGCTGATTACCAAGGAAAACAGGCTTGGGCCTAGTCCTCCAGCCATGCATTCCAGGCCCTTGCTATTGAATCAGTGGCTCTCAACCCTGCTACACACTAGAATAACCTGGAGCACTCTTAAATATATAAATGCCAGGCGCCCACCCCAGCCTCATAAATCTGAGTATCTGGGGGATCCTTTTCGGTGGCCATGGCTGAAAACTCTGCATAGGCAATGGCGCCTCACTATCATCAGAACAGTCCCTCCACCAGGCAGTTCGGCACCCTCAAACCAGCAAGCCCTGGAACTGCTCAGCTTAGTGTAAATAGTACCTTGCCAATTAGTTCAAGATTGGCATAAAGAAAATGGGGAAGATTTTTCTTTAACAAAAAAAAAAAAAAATCTGTAACGATCTTCTTGCCCTAAATTTTAAATTATCTGGAATAAGTTAAGCATGATTAGGGCTTTTATGTATCAGAAACATTTTTATTCAAATAATAAAAACAACATACATTTATCACAGCAGAAAACATGAAAAACAGTGAAAAATATTTTAAAAAGATCTAAATCACCTAAAATCATAAACTTGCAGATATTTTCTGATAATATTTGGTATATTTCTTTACCAAATTGTATATTTCTATGTATATGTGCTTACAATTTTCAATCTATTTTATAATATATGTGATACTATTGTGATCTGTTGCTTTTACATAATATTATATCCAGATAATTTCTGTATGTGACTAATTATTCTTTAAAAATATAAATTTTACAACAGTCTAAAACCCTGTCATATGGCTTTATTATACTTTACTTGATTGCCTCCCTTTTTTTGGGGGGGGGGTTAATGTAAATAAAGCAGTGCTACAATGAACATTTTTGTATGTACACTTATGGATATTTACGATAGAATTACTGAATCAAAGAAAACAAAAGTTAAGAGGGCTATTGATGTAAATTACCAAATCACCCTTCATGAAGATTGCACTAGTTTCTGTCTTGCCCACTAAGTAAAACTTACTAATGGTAAACTAATTTATAAATAGCTAACAGAATTGATTAGTGAGCATGGGATAATTGTAGTTTTTAAAAAAGAAAGAAAGAAAACCACAATCACCACCACCACCAAACAAACATCTCAGTGGCTAACACTCATTCATCTCAGCTTCCCTCATGTCGGTGGCCAGCCATCCTAATGGGGCTGGGGATGAGGAAGCTGCCCTTTGCCTCGACATTCAGGGATGCAGATTCCTTCCGTTGTTTGGTGCTGCCGTTTTCAGCCACAGAACAGAGGTTAGCTTAGAGTAGAGCACAGAAGTGTTTTATGGGCTGGACCAGAAAGTGGAATGTGTCATTTAGACTCACATTCTGTTGGCCAGAATTTGGTCACATGGCACCACCTAACCACAAGGGAGGCTGTGAATTTGAGTTTAGCTGTGTGTCCAGGAGCAAAGAAAACAGGGTTAGGTGAACATACAACAATGTCTCTACCACAAGGGTAGTCTATGGGGCAATTGTGCCCCCTTCAAGCTCACCTTTTTTGGCCCTTAATTATTTCCCCTTCCCAATATGAGCAATGCTCTTCCCTACCCTTTCTCAGTATCTCCTCTCCCCACAAAACCTCTGCTTCTCCTGCCAGGATCCCCTCTTCCTGGCATGCGCCCCTCTTGCTATCTCTGAGTTTCAGCTGAGAGCAATGAATTAATAAATGGCCATCTTCAGTGTCACTTATCTACAGGGCTTTCTAAGAGAGGCGGGTCAACCTGGCCCAGCAATCAGGCCAATTGAGAGAGGGAGATTCCAGCCTGGTAGAGGGCTGAGGTGGTCCCCCTGACTGCTGGGAAAGAGAAGGGTGCTCCCAAACTTTTGGAGATGCCCAGAAAACCACTCAGAAGGATCAAGGTTGTCTGCTTCAAAGAGGAAATAACCATCTCACTTCCAGTGGCCTGTTGGCTGAGCTGCATGCATACACTCTTTTCTCTGCTCTAGGCAGGTGCCAGAGCTGAGGCCAGGAGCTCAGGGGAAGTCTGACTCATCCCCAGGAGTCCAGGGTGTATAAAAGCTGGAGCCTACAGCCCAGGTGGTACCTTAGTAATGGGGTGAGGAGAGAGGGGTAGAAGAAGAGCAGGTGCCCCACTACAATTTTGCAGGGCATAGGTGATTTTGTTCTTATTTTTGTGGACCATACAGGCATCCAGAAATGGGCAAGACTAGAGCCAAAAAGGCTGCATGCCAGGAAGACAAGGTGCCAGCAGAAGAAGCAGATGTGGGGGATGGGGAAGTTACTGAGGGAGGGCAGGAGCCAGCGTCACTGATCAGATCAATTTCTACAATATATAAAGATTATAACAGGTCCATTCTTATTGAGAGTGTAGGGGCTGAGGGTGGGGTGGGGGAAAAAGGAAAGAGATGGAAAAAATGTTTTACTGGTGCCCAAAACCACTTCATTGGCCGTGGGTATCATGTGAAGATGTCTGCAGGGCCTCTCCAAAAACCAGCCTTTGTGCCCATGAATCAGCCCATGTATAGACACCTTCTGTGACAAAAGCCATTGGACATCCATGAGAAAATGACAAATTCCACAGGCCCTTTAAAGAGACTTTCCACTTGGTTCTTTTTCATCTACCTTCCTGCCTGTGGCAACGACTGAGGCCAGGGGGCGGCTGGGGCAAGAGGAAGTGGAGCCAGAAGAATGAAAGAACAGACCTTGCCCCATTCTTTCCCCACCGCTGGTGACTAGGCCACAGGCCAAGACTGGGTCGAGGAGATGAAAAGTTCTTTCCATCAGATGAGAGACTGAGGTTTGGTTTGGACAGAACCCTTCAAGGCTACTTTAATACCTGAACATGTCCAGAGGCTTTAGGACCTTCCAGAGATACAGGCAAAGAGAAGGAAAGGGAGCTGCAACAAAGACCACTGAAGGAGAGGAAAAGAAAGGAAGCCGATTCCTGAGTGTAGCATGTCACCAGCCCCTTGACCACATCCGGCACCCCGGTGTGGGTGTGACCCCGGGAGCGCAGACAAAGGGAGGGAGAGGGAGGGACAGACCTCCACGGCTAGAAGGCGCTCTAGATCTCCTTTATTCTTCTTGCCCCTCCTCTTTACCCACAACCTCTCCTGACTCCCAATAAAATTAAAAGGGAAAGTTCTTTTTATATTTCCCTGGTATATATCAACAGAAACTATAGGAAATCAGTAATACTATTGTGAGGGGGACAAGAAATATTTAGTAAAATCCCCATAACCAGGCCTGAGTGTTTGCCAACCCAAAAGCAGACACTGGCCCAGACTAACCTTGTCACATTTGCCAAATGACCATCCACCTTCCTTCTATGCTTTGGTGGCATCTGAAGAGTGAATATGCTTTTATGCAAGTAGCATCCAACACTACTTTTTTATGCCGTGTGGTCATGAAGCTGTGCAGCAGTCCTTGTAGTAACTAACAGTCATTAAGCATATTCTGGGCAGGTGTTTTACACGCAGCTTCTCATTGTATCCACTAAGATACCTTCAGTTATAAGGAATGGGAAATACGTATCAAAATGATATCAGATAATCAAAAAATAAAATAATAAAGGGAATGCGAGGCTCTTGTAACTGAAAATGTCCACAGATAAGACAGTTTCAGGTAAAGTACAATCAAAGTCTGGCTCCTTTCCCTGCAATTTCTTAGCTCTGCCACCATAAGTCTATCAATTTCATGTTAGCAAATATGGATACAGCAGTACCAAGCCTCCAAGTCATATACTACAACTTCTAGAGAGAAAGTGCCTCTTTTTTTTTTTTTTTTTTTTTGGCCTTCTGCCAAAAAGAGAGAGAGAGAAAGAGAGAGAGAGGTAGTTAAGTAGTGCTCTCCCAGAACCTCTCAAAAAAGCTCATGAATCACTGGCCTGAATTGAGACATCGCCAGTTCCTGAGAGAAGCCCTGTGGCCAGGAGAAAGACCTGCGCTGCTGGGTTTGGGATCGGGCCCTGAACCAGTCACTGTGACAAGGGGATTTGCATTGAGCCTATTTGGCCAGGACCAATCAGAGCCCATTTCTAGGAGCCAGGCTGGAGTGATTCCTCCCACACGGGCCGCATGGGCAAGGTTTGTGCATGATGTGCAAGAATCCACCACGATAGCCTAGTCTCATAATAGGATAGGATCGTATTCCCATGGATCAGGATAACCCAGCAGTGTTAAGGAAATGCAGGCTCCAAGACGGTAAATAACCATCCTAGCATCACCCAGAGATACAGCTCCTCTTAAAGTCTCTCTGAATCTAGGGCCCATGTTATTCTCACTGAACCTCATCACCTGCTCATTCACCCATCATTTGTGGGGCATTTGCCTTGTGGAAGATTTCTGGATGGGCTACTAACTTGTAAATGTGAGTTCTCTGTGTGTTGGTCAAAAGACCCTTCCTCCCCATCCAATGGGTGTTAACTGACAGCTACAGGACATCATGACTGGGATTGATGACATGAAACTTCCTCAATTTCAGGGCAGGAAAGGAAGTTTTTATATCAAAGAGGGAAAAGTCCCATCCATTGTCTGTATATGGATGAGAGAGGCTTGGAAAGCCAGAGAAGTATGTGTAATGTTGGAAAATCGATCTGTTCCCACCCGCCAGCAACTAAAAGTGGCCCTAACTTCCCTGCACGAAGACCTGAGGAGAGGTGCTCTGTGGTCCCCCTTGTCAAACCTGATGCAATAAAAGCCCAGAACGCACAGAAAAACCAGCTCCGCTAAAAGGATCCCAGAGTGAGTGATGCAATTGTCAAAGCGTTCCCTCAACACTCCCGGAAGTATTTTACAACAAAATTTAAAAAATAAAAGCTTGTTAACCTAAATGGGGGTCTGATACAGTATCTGAGCATAGGTTGGGTTGGTATTTAAAGCCCAGATGGCTTCTTAGCAGAAGTTTTGCTGTGGGCTTTCTTGACTCTTCCTCTTGCATTTCAATGAGCTCTACCATATATGTTCTAGAATGTTCATCAGAACAAATTATTAAAGAGAAACTGGAATGCCAGTGTCCTTTGAGGTCCTAAGGGCTATGGAGGGAGGGCTCCTCTGGTGGAGGCTGACACTGACACAGAGATCTGCTCACTCCCCAAATCCTCCTTCTGTTTTCAGAAATGAACCGGCATCACTACGCCCTGTACGTGCACAACTGCCGCCTGGTCTTCCTCTTGAGGAAGGACTTCGACCAGGCCGACACCTTCCGCCCTGCGGAGTTCCACTGGAAGCTGGACCAGGTATGGCACTCTCCTGGCACGTCGCCCCAGCTCACCCCTTTGCAGGGGTGGGTGCTGTGCTCCAGTGATGATGGCAGTGGGTAGGCACCTCAGGGTTCTGGTCACTTGCTGATTTTTGGAAGAATTAGCTCAGGGAGACAAATGGCGTCTTGCAGTCAGGGTAGAAACCGCCACTTTAAAGACCAGTCTGAGGTGAAGAGATCCGCACTCCCAGCTGGGACCCCACAGGGTCAGTGGACCTGCTAACATGCACTTTGTCCATTTGCTCTCCACTGAGCTCATGGGAAGCTGGTTCTCTCCTGATCCTCCAATCTCAGTTTATGATCTTTGTTAGCACATCTTTATGTCATAAATGCTCTGGGTCTCCTCTTTGATGCTCTACTATCCCTTTTGGATGACGGTGTAGCCTTGTTTTTGGTGGCACAGGTTGAGAACAGGGCCCCAAGGACTTTGAAGTAAGCAGTGACACAGTGCATATTCTTTTTCGAAGTGGGAAAATCTATGACTCACTCCAGAGCCTCATGACTTGTGATCACAAGGACCACTGTTGTCACACTTGTCAGTGAGAAATGAAGTGTCTCGTCTGAATCAAAAGCTTTGACGTGTCTGTTTCCGACGCTGGCAGTGTGGAGATTGTGGAGGTGGCTCTCCCTTCTTTGGGTGTCTGCCACTGAAGAGGTAGTCTGTGCAGCCAGCCTACAGCTGGCCTTCACCGAGCATTGAAGAGCAGGGTGTGAATTTTTTTAAATGGTTTTAAATTATCAAGAGGGAGAGTGCCTGCAGGCAAGACAGGGGACCGCAGAATGGGTCTGCTGAATGAAACAGGTGATATGATGCTCATTCTATGGCACCTGCAACTCGTTTTGGTTTTTCTTTTCTGCCCCATCCATGTCCTGAGTGCTTCTGGGGACCTCAGTCTTCCGTTGTCCCTCCAAAACCCACTGTGTGTGCTTCCTGCCTTACCTTATCTAGGGCTTAAGTTCCATAATCCTTTTCCTCCTCTGTCCCTATTCCCCTCATCTTCCCCACCCTCTCCGGGTACTACTTAAGCTCCCAGGCCCCCAGTGGGCTGACCCCAGAGAGTGTTCCTGGGAAGCCTTCCAGGAGGAATCCATTTACATTGAGATGAGAACGATTGCTGCCCCCTTTTACCCACACAGAAGTGCAGACATATGCTCTTTAAAAGAGAGATTCATTAACCTCAGGCAGTCTCTCAGTGGGGGAACATCAGACAAGTGACAAGGTCAAGGATGCCGAGCAGATAGGAAAGATGTTTGAGGGAGCGCAGTGGCAACTGACTAATCCATTCCCACTAAATCCCATTTGGCTGTTTCCTGGGGTTTTGGAAATAAGGCGTCTGATTAGTGTATGTTTCTCTAAACTAGGAATTCCAGGTTTTGCAGAAGTTATGAAATCTTGACATAGTTTATTTGATTTCACAGCAACCTCTCAGCTACCTTCTAACGTGCCATATGGCTTATACAAGATGTTTTTAAATGCATAATGTGAATTGAGGTGAATTAAAATAAATCCCATATTATGAGGAGTTTTAATAAGAACATTGCTATACTGCCGGAGACAATTATACATGTCCTGCAGCATTTTCTAAGATGGAATTGAGAAGCACTGATGGAGGCAAATGAAGTCACACTGTTTGAAAAATAAAAATAAGTGAGGAAGGAATTCTGGTTCTGCAGATAAAGATATGGTGAATCTAGGAATTCTGAAATCTGTTCCCAAAGTGGTGACCTGAAGGAGGGCTGAGAACCACTGAACACCACCCAAACTACTGCCAGGCACGCTGTGCAGCCGCGCTCATCCTCAGCCCGGCCACAGTGCTGCCCAGGGACGGCACAAGGCCCTCTATCTCGCCCCAGGTCCCACAGCAAGACCATGCTGAGGACATGCCTCTCCCATCATGCTATGCTGCTGCTTTGGTGAGCATGCTAATTTAAAATTTTAAATGTTTTCATTTCTAAATTTAAAATATTTTATTTAGAGACCAGAATTATCAGTGAAATATAAAATGTGTATGAAACTGTCAAGTCTTCACGAAGCAATGCCATTTATTCCCACCGTTCTAGAGACTGCGAGGTCCAAGAACAAGGTGATGCCCAATTCTGTTCCCAGTGAGGGCCCTCTTCCTGCCTAGTACCAGTTGCCTCCTTGCTGTGTCCTCACCTGGTAGAGAGAGAGAGCGCTCTGGTACCTTTTCCTCCTCTTAGGAGGCATCAGCCCTATGGGATTAGGGCCCTGCCCTATGACTTCATTTAACCTTCACTACCTCCTAAAGGCCCTAACTCCAAGTACAGTCACCTTGGGGCTTAGGGCTATACCACATGAACTAGGGGGGAGGGGAGAGGTGGCGGCGTGTGGTTCAGTCCATAGCATTCTTCAAACAAAGAAATTAACAATTTTTTTTTTAAGTGTAAAGGCTGTCTGGTGACAATAAGAAGCCTCATCTCACCTGAAACATTGCTCTCCCTTTGAAAGGAGCCACAGCGAGTGGGGTATAGGAAACCTCAACCATACTCATGCTGGCAAGCCAGCAAGATCTATGGACCAGCCCGCAGATCCCTCTACCCTGATTCTGCTCCTTGTGGAGACAGAACCTTACCAGGAGTTTCTTAGATATAAATCCCTTAATGCCCAGCCTGTGCATACGAGATGTAGTCTCCTCCCCAGGAAGCCATCCTGGGTCACCGCCCCCTCCAGTGGTTTGCCCCTCCCTGTCCTTCCCAGAGTTCACACCCAGCTCCATCCCAACACTTACTGTACCGCAGTTACCCAGGCATCCTGCCCCTCTGCTCACCGTGCGCGCTGTGCTCCTGGACGGCAGGGCTGTACTTTACTCTCTCCAACTCCTCAGTGAATATTGTAACCCTGAGCACACAGTTGGTGTCCAGGAAATATTTACGTAACAGTGAATGGATGTCAAGATCCAAAGATGGGATAGATGAAGTGAGGGAGGGAGAGAGAAGGAGAAACAAAAAATCCAGAGATCTTATTAAATTTCCTAGTGATTAGTTGGTATTTTGATCCATTTTATGGAGCATTCTAAAATTCTAAAATGTTAACATTTTTTTTACTCTCTGGATCTCAAACATTGTTAAGCTTTGGTCTTGTTACCTTATTTCAAAGGTCTTACTGGATTTACCACCAGTAACTATTTAGAACTTTCTGGCCTTGGCCAGGAAGGACTAGGCGAGTCTAATGTACAAATGTATTAAAATTCCTGGACCATCTTGGGGATTCCAAAGCATAATAAATGTTTTAATGACTGATGAGCCTCATTTATTTCTTTAACCAGCAGTTTATTCTGAGCACAGACTGTGTACCAGGCTCTGTGCTGGATTAGCAGCTAAATTAGGAGCCTCTGCTCTCTAGAAGTTTCCATGATAATGGGGCAAACAACATGTACACAGTTTACCTCATCCTATTGTAGTATGTGCTAGGGCAGAAGGCAGGGGGCCTGGCTGGGGACTCCTGACATGGCCCTGGAGATAAGGGACTGAAAAAGTCCCCAGGAGGGGCCAGCGGCTGAAGGGAGTGTGGAGGGCTCCCTGGAGCCTGAAGCCACCCTGGCGGAGCGCGGGACAGTGGCACTATCTTCAGGGAACTGTCAGCTTTCGGTGCCGCAGGGCTTAGGCATGGGGCAGGAAGGGAAAACACCCGCAGGTGTTAGGAGGAGCAGATAGGATGTATCCCAAGAGGCTTTTTATTTTGTGCTATTGAGTTGGTATTTTATCCCGAAAGAAATTGGCCACAATTGAGGCATCTTGTTATATAAAGAAGACTGAGAATTTTAGGGATGGGTAGATGTGAAAAAGGCTAGTATGGCATTCATAAAATGTATCAAATTTAAGCAAATATAACTTAGGCAAAGTCATTCAATGTGGCCAGTGGCAGTGGCTACATTAGAACCAGGGTCTCCTTTCCTCTCTCCACAGCCAGACAGGGAGACCAAGCACTTGACAGATGCTGCCCGTGGGCATTGAAATCAGGGCATGAAGTGCAGAATGGTTTCCATATAGCTCTTCAGGAGCAGCCCAAGGTGCAGCAGTTGCTGCAGAGGAGGTGGGGGGGCTTCCAGCAGCCCAGCTCCTTAATCCCCACACCTCTGATGGCCTCTGCCGCCGTGGACAGACTGCCAGGTAAATCCATCAGCAGGCAGCTCCAGGAAATGCCGCTGACAATCCAGTGCACCTCACTAAAGGAACCATAATGATGAGGAGAATGTCATTTTAATGGGATTTTTACTTATGATCTGCTAATGCTAATCCCTGGAGCCTGCAGTTAATCATGTGCAAACCCAAACGAGAGCAGAGGAGAATGCCCAGCTGCTGGCTCACACAGGGAAGGGTTATTAATTTGCAGCCCCTCCCAGCTTTAATAGTATTTGGATACGGTTGACTCAGTGTTGCAAATTCTAATGATCTTCCCTTTGGACTTGTTGTTGCTTAGAGGGAAACCTGCTGGGGTTTTATGGTGATTTTCCATTATTGGGAGGCACAGCTTGAGTGACAGCATCAATTGACCAACATGAGGACAGGTGCCCCCCCAGCTCAGGTGAGAGGAAAAAAAATGCATCTCTGGAAAATGGCAATGAGTACAAGACGCCTTCTGTTGGCCATTGGCTTCTCTGTGCCAGAACTTGTAACAGGCACCAGGGAGAGGGAAGAAAGGCATGACGCTGCCCTGGGGGAGCTCACAGACCTGCCCAGTTTATGAATCCAGCAGAACATCCTCCTACAAAAGTGCTACCTCTAATAATTATGAGCTGGAAGCAGCGACAAAAGTGAGTGGAGATGCCTCACCGGGTGAAGGTTGGTTCTCACAAAGGCTAAGCCACCACATGGCCCCAGGCCATGCAAGAATATGGTCTGCACAGCACTTCTAATCATTCAGGAGTTGGAAATCAGATTTTTATGTGAAATCTCTCAATATTTGATATTTTTCTCGTTTAAAAACATATCATCATACTAAACAAAGGTTCTGCA